CAGTTCATATACCTAAATCCGTAGAACGCAAGGTTGCAACCATGCCTGTTACGTTAACAGGGGTATATCATAAAAATCATCATAGAAATCATCATAAAAATCATCATAATAATATCATGGAAGTAGACAAAAAATACTATGCAAAGTTAGCATAATGTTATGAAAAACTTGCGTGACAGCCATGGCCCAATCACAGGCTTGATTTTAGCACAGCTATTGCTTCAGGTACAGCTACAGCTTCAAAGGCAGCTCCAGATACAGCTCCAGATACAGATTATCAGATCCAGCTCCAGATACCAGCCATTCTATTCTAGCATGAGCAGGAAATGCACAAGCTGCTATACTTCAAATTTGCAGACCCTGAGACAGGTCACCACAAAAATGTCAGAAGACAACTGCAGCACATCAAAAAAAAAACCCTGGAACATGAGAGATATTCTTACTCACTGACTCTGAAGTTCTGGAGGTTCATACCTTTTCTAAGGACACACTATCACCCAAGACTCAACAATATGTCTACAACGTCATTCCACCTGAGGGGGCCCATCAGGCATCAATCTCCAAATCTATCGATTCGATCAATGATTCAACTATGTACCGCTCTGGAAAGTGTTTCAATCATCAAAATACTGGTTAATTGATTGAATTATCAGCTCGATTTACCTTATTCCTTTAGAAAAGGGTTTTCGGTTCATGTGCTTCCAACCTCACTTTTTTGCCAAGGCTTCAAAATCCCATAATAATGGACAGTTTCCGAAAATATATACCACAACAATACCTCAAAATTTCCTACATGGAAACTGGAAAATTGAGAGTGAAATCTAATCCCTCATTTCGAGGATGAATGAAAAATTCAATATTATTGGCTTACAGCCATTTCACTTGCTCATTGCCCAGGACATAAAAGTGACAGCCTTCATTGATCATCTCGGATCCACAAAACCATGGAAGTACATGACATACCCGAACAAGGACAGAAATCTCAGAACACACAGAACATGACAGGAACCGTTATTGCCTAACCACTACCTGGGTATATAATATCCATTCTTAGTTGGAATGATATTTAGATGTAGAAGAGTAGTGAAAGGATATTCACTAGTGAATAATCCAGGAGGTACTATACCCATGATGACATCATCAGAACAGGGTACTGAATAGTCGGAACTCGAATGCAGCGCAACGGGTACCAGAACATGGAATCTATCCCCCAGTACTGTACAAAAAAAACCTGACATCCAGTGTAACCAAGTTGATAAATTTCCCTTAGCTCTACTACCAGGTACATCACTCAATTGCACCAAACGTGCACTATCTATGTACCAAGTTCCACCACTATCACCAGTAGAAACCCGTTCATCCGGTTATTCAAATCACCCTGAGTTTGGTCCAGCGCGCGCACAACGGAACGGTCCTGTTCTGTCGAGGGTAGTGTCTGATATTCCGAACACAGCATTTCAACGACCGAACAGTGGGAAAGCTGATCATACTACTACTACTAATGACAGCGAAATGTAAACACCATACCTGATGACAGCCTAAACAAAAATAAATCTCAAATCCAAAATATGATTCCCTAAAATGAATCTGTTTGAAATAACAGTAAGTACGGAGTGTTCATTAATTATACCATACGTATACCTTATGGTTGAGTTCTCTTCTTTCAGGAGACTGAATACAGATGGTGGTGACTGCTAATTTACGATTGAAGATAGCAGCAGATATGGAAATAAACAGACTCGAGTACTAGGAATCAAATTATGGTACCGAGGTCTAGGCAGGTATATATGTAATTTATGTACAACAGAGGATGATATGATACAGCTGTGCAGAAGTTGACTTGGTATATCGAGAGACCCGATGTTAGAATTTTACCAAGTAATAGGCAATAGATGTTGAAGTTTTAAATCTTCGCAGAATCAGTGAATTAATTCATCAAAAAGGTACGATAGCTAAAAATGAACGTTACAAATTCCCCTCCCACTTTAAAAAAATTTGCCTGCAAATTTTCCTTGTTTTGAAGATATACGCAAAAAAAAAGATTTAGACTTGTTCCTGACTACCCTAGCCGGTAACAAGATATGTGACCATGACATCTTAGGTTCACAGTCATCCCACAGACGGGTGAACCGACCGATCGTCCGAACATCGACGCCCCAGGAGGGCCTCGAAGATGGCCTCGCGAAAGATAGAAAAACGCGTCGTGGTCCGCTCTACGGGACTAGCCACTCCTGACGCATCGACACCCAGACGAACCATCAGGCCCCCACCTCTGTGTGATCCTGGTCGCCCGAGTGGAGGATTCTGAAAAAGTTAAATTCAAAATTTTGATTTAGGGCGTACCCAAGGACTGCCACGTCAACCCTAGTCGACTTGAGGGCCGACCAACCTGAAACGGCGCTGATGCCGGAAGAGATATATATAGACAAAACATTCGGGATTGTTCCTTCATCTCAATACGATGGACAAATGGCGATACCTCGGCCTAGAGAGAGCTCGACCGAATGTAGGAGAATGACCCGGCCATGTGACAGGCGCCCGTAGCCAACTCGCGATTCTGTCGACGGGGCCCCTCCTACATTCGTTCTCCTTCTCCTGGCACGCATAATCGAACACTTGGTTCCGCCACCTGCCCATCCCCATTGGGATAAGGTCCCTACCAAACAAAATTATCTCTAGCAAAAAGTGACGAATCACCGGTTAAAGTGACAAAAAAAAATTAAGTCCCTACCAAAATTTATTGGCTCTTGAAAGAATGATAAAGTGACATACATGATGCAAAAATGTTTATACCAAACTCCATTATCTCTAGCAAAAATGACGACCACCAACATTAACTCCAACAATAGGACCGCAAAATACCGCATTGAACTATAAACCAAAGAAGAACCAGAAACGTCATAAAGGAGCGGGACATAATGTTATTCATGATAAAATTTGCCTAACGTGGCCAGTTATGGGACTTTTACCCATCAGCTGGTAATTCCCTGACAGGAGTATTCTTAAGCCCCTCACTGTAGAGCTTCGTCGTTCGAATACAACAAACAACATCAACATTATATAAGCCATCCCAGACGTTACTCATTATCATCCGGAGGATGAGCCTTCAAGTCCTTCGCATGCCAAACTCCAAGATACCGTTTCTGGTCGTCCTTCAGCTCATAAGTCCACGGGGACAATCTCTTAGATATCATAACTGGACCAATATATTTTGGAGCCAATTTGGCCGTGGAATACTTTGAGGCATCAGACAAAACGTATTTACGGCGCCAGACTAACTGATTGGGCAAATATTGTTCATCCCTTCTACTCAGATCATAGACCTTTTTATTCTGAGAATAGGACTTGAATAAACGTTCTTTGATATCCGAGAACAATTTTTCTTGTGCTTGTTGGCGCTGAAGGGTTACAGTTGACCGATCAAATTCAATAGGGTCTGAAATGGCTTTCTCTCCTTCCGAAGAAACTTCCCTACTGAACACTATAAAATTTGGGGTGAAACCAGTGACCTCATGCTGAGTGGAACGAATAGCAAACCCGACTTTATCTAAATTCTGATCCCAAGTTCTATGATCGTCTGAGACATACGACTGTAACATAGTTTTGATAACTCTATTTATCCTCTCAAATGGATTTGCCTGGGGATGATGAAGAGCGGTATACTGAATATTTACATTATATGATTCCATCAATTTCTGAAATTCCTTAGACTTAAACTGAACCCCATTATCTACAATAATTGAGTTTGGACATCCAAACATTAAAAATACATTATTTTCCAAAATTTTCACAATTGTCGATGCGACAGCTTTTCGCAAGGGAAACAACAGGGGAAACTTACTGAAACAATCAGCTACTACAAAAATATATTGATATCCAGAACGGGACCGGGGTGAAGGACCAATCAAGTCTGCACACAGTAACTCAAATGGTCGAGATATGGATGTTTGCTTACTCAGCATCAATCCAGGTGGGCGTCTCTGCTCGGGTTTGATAGCATGGCTAGTATGGCATTTGCGAACAAAACATGCCACATCAGACCGCATCTTCGGCCAATAATATTGCTGTGCGAGCTTGTGAAAGGTTTTATACACGCCTGCATGGCAAATTGACTGGTGTATAGACTGAATGAGAGGCTTGCGTTCCTCACTTGACACTACAATCTTCCAACACTCTGAAGGAGATATTAGATCGGGATATCGGGGCTTAATATTTTTATACAAAGTGTTAGCAACGACTTGCCACGCCGAAAACTTTTGGGGACACTGGAGTACTTCATTCTTCATAGTTTCATAGCAATTATCGGTATCGGTAACACCTACAACTATATTCGAAGAATCAGGATTAAGGGGGACAGACAAGGCATCCACTACAGGGACTGAACGGGACAGAATATCCGGAATGACATTATCTTTCCCGGGCCTATGCTTAATGGTGTAGTCATACTGTTGCAACTTAATCGCCCAGCGCGCTAGACGACCTGTGGGGGATTGAAGACGATTCAACCATACCAGACTAGCATGATCTGAATAAACAGTAAACTTAGAACCTTCAATATATGGTCTGAGTTTCTCAATCGCCCATAATACAGCGAGACATTCTCTTTCTGTAGTTGTATAGTTGCGTTCTAAACGGTTCAGAGACCTGGATAGTAGGGCGGAGCGTTTCTATAGGACATTTTCTGAAGTTTCGAAAAATATCTACCCTGGGTGTAGAATCGCTGCCTTTTGGTATTATGGGAAAAGTAACAAAAGATGGACTCGAAAAAAAAACATCTTGAGGTTCCTAGATGGCCTTGAAAATCAAAAAATCGAAAATATTTATATTATTTCCTGACATTCTTTGCAACTCTTCGCTTGTTCTTTTTCCACAAAAAACAACCCAGAACCCACCACGTGGAGGTGGTTGCAAGTCGGGTTCCACCCCCACCCACCCCCACCCACCCCCTCCCTGCCTTCCATCCACCCATTGTTCACTACCTTAATCGCTTCGTTCATAATTCACTGATAAAAATGTTTTTTGGTCTCAATTCGGGGAAGCTTCTCTCTTGAAGAAATTCTGGCTCTTATCAATCCATCCCTAGAACTAGATCCGCAAACCAATGAAGATGCCTCTGTTACCATCTTTATGTGTCGTTCAACGGCTTGAGTGTGACAAGGAAACTTCAAAATATCAATAGTGTCTGGTACTTCTGATATCATCTCGCGGAGTGCTGCTTCAGTAATATCCTTCGTTAGTGGAGGCTCAGTTATATCACCTTGCTGCCAATCAATCATATCCCAATATTCTTCGGCTTCAAAATTTATTCTTGGTACTTTGAATTCACGAATTCCATTCTCTATGGGGTGTGAAGTTCGGCATTTGAGTATACGACGAAGAGCAAGTTCACGAATATACTTGCGACTATCTGCCAACATTGCAAGTAAAATGTTTTCTGAATGAGCAAAATAACTATTTCGTTGAATGACTGGATCGACTATCTTCTTGAGTCTGTGTGGTAGATACCGAGATGATTTAATCATAAGGAATAAATGTTGAGAACCGTATTTGCAAGACGACTGATATTTTATTGAGAACCAGCAAGTGGCGTACACCTTAACAACGAATTCAGCCAATATTTTCAATGAATCCGAGACATTCTCAGTTGCAACATAAAGCCGGAGAATCCTGTTAGCTGTAGTTAACCATCTAGAGTGCGACATGTTACCAGGTTGTTTTTCTGCCAATTGAGGGGATACATTGCCACTATTGATTGCCAAGCACATTTCGTACAGATATTTCTGGTCTGTACTCAATTCTTTTGAGTCTATTGGACACAATTCCACTTCTATGATTTCAAACTTGACGATAGGCATTTGCTCACATTTTACAAGAAGCTTTCCTATCAGTCCTGTGAAGCCTCTTGGATCATTCGTTTTTCCGTCTAATTCTTGCATTAAATGCCGGAGCGGTAATTCATTGGCATGAAGCAAGCATATGAACCATTGAACGGATTTTCCGACAGATATTTCGATCTGTTTGATGACACCATTTTTAGAGCCAGTGTTAACAACTGTACCATCGCATCCCACAGCAATAATCTTGTTGAAATTGGCTCCCAGTAAGTTCTTCAAAAAGCTTACAATACTGGTCTTGATGCTATTTGCGTTACCAGATATTGGGGACACGTGTCCCAAATATTTAGAACCTGGTTCAGCAATAATCACGATATGCTCTTCAGTCACCTTCTTTGTGTAATAACGTGATCCTCTTTTTTCACTAGTAACTGTTTTATCTTTCCTGCCATCGAAATAGATTCCAGGAAACACAAGAATTTGGTTGTTTTTCTTCAAATCAAGTCCTGTTCGACATCTCTTTCTTTCTCGTCTTATTTTGCTTCGATCAATGATATTCGATTGATCTTCTTCAGTGACCAAACCAAAATCTTTTAAAACAGCATTCACGATTAGAGATGCTGATCTATCAGACACACCACTCCTGTCACATGCCTCCGCTAAATTTTCTAAAACTAACCCTCTGGTGTATGACTTAAAAGATTTGGCTGCAAGAGGTGAGTTAGATTTGGTCTGTTTGGAGTGGCTGGTGAAATCTTCATCACTCTTCTCATTCATATCGGATATCTGGTTTTGACCTTCATCTTCCTCCGTATTGGACGAGAGTGAACTGTCAAGGTTGTTGAAAGTGGGGATTATTCTGTTGACTTCTACTTCCTTCTTTTTTTCCAGTCTCTCTGTCCTTATGTGTTTCCTCTCCAATGACTTGAGATTTCTTCTTGTAATGTTATAATCAGTTCCTCCAATTACCATATTCCTCACAGTTCTCTGATCAATCAAGAATTCTCGCTCACATATTGGAACTTTCACTTTACATAAACATATACTGAAGTCAAGACATTTACAAGGAGAAATATCAAAGAGTTTGAAGCTTTCCTTCTTGAATACCTCGATTTTTTCAAGCGACTTTCTATTATGAATCGATTTCATATTCTTCTTCAAAGCCTTATATTTTTCATTATAGTCCTTTATTTTTTGTATAATGCGTTGATCAGAAATTGTCTGAAGGGATGCTTTCTGCCACACTCTTTTTATATCGATCAATAAATTTTTTGAAATGTCCAAAACACTGGGATCTTTGTTTGACTGTCTTTTCAAACACTCGCGCCACCACAAATATGCTCTCATGACGTCCCAATATGTCGGGAGCATTTTATCACAAAGTTCACTGGGGACTCCAAATATTTCTGTTTTATTTCGAGTTAGCGGCATTTCGAATAGATTTTCACACACTCACAATCAACAATCCTCTCTTCACCGCGAATAAACTAGAACTGACGCACACGACCTGATACGAAAGAATCGATGCTCGCGTGCGAACTAGTTGAGACTTGTTGGCTCTTGAGCACTTGAATTCGTTCTCATATTATCGCCTCATCACAATTACGAATAACCACTATAATCATTTTGTAACTTTGGTATGCGACAAGAATTCGAAGCGAATATGGGTATCAAACAAAAATCAAAAATCTTCTCAGAATCTGAAGATCTAGTAATACTCCGCTAATATTCGGATATATACATACTAAAATAGCTATACCAAACTCTAGGAATCTGCAATTTAATTTTTTTTTGTTTTTGAATTTATGTTAATTTACCATCCGTCTAGGAACCTGAAGATGAAGTCTCAGAGAGTCGAGATTTTTTGTGTGGAACATTGGTGTTAAAAGGCACCCATTCCAACCACAGGCGTTTGATTTTTTGGAATTTCATTTTTGTGCTCCGCCCTACTGGATAGATAACAGATGACTTTAACACCATCATCATGCTCTTTAGTCAATACAGCTCCGATTCCATAACCGGAAGCATCAGTCTCAATAGCAAAGGGAAGATCAAAGTTCGGACAGGCAAGTATAGGGGACGAAATGAGATGCTCTTTCAGAGCGCGAAAAGCTCCATCACATGTGGGACTCCAAACGAAACTTTTATTTTTACGAAGCTACTCCGTAATAGGGGCCGTAATGGACGAGAAATTTGGGACAAAACGTCTATACCAAGAGGCTAGACCTAATACTCTACGAACTTCAGAAACACAAGTAGGAACAGGGAGATTCACTATTGCGCGAACTTTCTCAGGATCGACTCTCAATCCATTAGCATCAACAATATAACCGAGATACAATAATTCGGGCCTACAAAAATGACACTTTTTCTTCGAAACCGTCAAGTTAGCTACTCTCAAGCGGTCGAACACTTCCTTTAAAATTTCAATATGCTTTTCGAAAGTCTGAGTGACTATTATAATGTCATCTGAATAGACAAAAACACGAGGTTCTAACTCAGGTCCTAATACACGATCTATCAACCTCTGGAACGTAGCAGGGGAATTTGCTAAGCCCATAGGAAGTCTGCAAAATTGAAATAGACCACGATTTGGTACGGTAAAGGCGGTAAGGGGCTTCGAAGATTCGGTCAACGGTACTTGAAAATAGGCTGATTTTATATCTAATGATGTCAAGAATTTTGCATCTCTTAACTTATCAAGTGTTGAAGATACATACGGGATTGGATATGCATCACGTTCAGTAACTTGATTTAATTTCCTGTAATCTATACAAAATCGAAAAGTGTCATCTTTTTTTTTTCACTAAGAGAATTGGTGATGACCAAGGGCTGATGGACCGTTCAACAATACCCTCATCAAGTAATTTTTGGAGTTCTTTATCTATATGGGATTGCATAACCGGACTGACAGGATAATATCTCTGCTTAATCGGAGCTGCGTCGGTTTTGATCTTATGTTCAACTAAACTAGTGCAACCCAAGTTATCTCCCATAGAAGTGGAATCTTCATCAACAACTTCATATAAAATTTTCGATTGTTCAGGATTTAAATCAGTTTCTGACCGTAACGCGATAGAATCAACCATCGCGGTTGCTTCAGAAGCAAAAACCCAATCGCCACGACGAAGATCTGGGACAATCCCCATTTTCTTCCAAAAATCTATTCCCAAAATCAAACAGTGGGGGAGAGACGGTATGATCAAAACAAAAATAATTTTAAATTTATCCTCAACACCAATCGGTAAATCCACTGATCCTATACTTGAACAAATTTGGCCATTAGCCACTCTACAAGAAACAATATTTTCATTATTTACACTTAAATTAAGCTTACTCAATAACTGCCAACCAGGTCCTCCTAAAATTGTGTTTGATGCGCCAGAATCCAATAATCCTAACATCTTAACACCCAAAATCGAAACATTCAAGAATGGCCTTTCATCATTCTGCGCATGTGCCAAAATGTACTCTAAGATAACTTTTTGTTTAACCGGTAACAAAGATTTACTGACCGACTTCCTATCTGAATTAGAGATCACTACGCGGTCGTTTAGTGTCTCGGTCTGGCGTTTCCCTGATTACATTTAGGACAATTGCGAACAGTGAAATTGGCATTTCCACATTTGAAACAGTACCTACTTTTCACGGAAGCCTTACAATCTCGAGCCATATGACCTACAGATTTACAATTCCAACAAGTACCCACCATATCTACTTGAGCGGAGGAGGTGGAGGGACTATCTCTACGACTGTCAAAAGGCCTCTCAGAATTATCTGTATAAATATAAGCCAAATCAGGCTCCATGAGATTGCTTTTGTTTCTTGGAGGAGGAACAAAGGATTCTATGGCCTGCTTACGGGCCTCTAGTTGACGACCTAACTCTATCAAATGTTGAATTGAATCAACCTTAATTAAGCCAAGTTGACTTTGATAAAATGGAGAAATGTTCTGTAACAAAATCTTCAACCGCATACTCTCACTGATCGGTATTGTCAAACGATTGAACATATTTATCATAAGGGCTATGTACATGCCCATAGTCTCTTGAGGACCTTGTGTTCTATGCTTGATTTCATTGAACAATTTATCATTGAAATTAGGCGGCTGAAATTCTGCTCTAAGTTCGACAACTAACTGTGGCCAAGAATGAACCTGATTTCTGATGGACCTAAAACAAAACAACGCTTTTCCTGAAAATAGATCACTTGCAGATCTATACAATTGGTCTTTACTCACATTACGGGACAAACATAATTCCTCAACATTCTCCAGAAAAGCACTTAACGAAATTTTACTATTATCCCCATCAAATTTAGTTATGTTCCACTTTGATACTGGGACACCCTGTGTATGGGGAACAGACACTGGTACTGAAGGTACATTTCCTACTACGTCATCATGAGATTCTTCACTCTCTGATGAGCTGCTAATCCCTGTAGATGACATGAGAACACTAAGTTCTAAAGGAGTTGAAATTTGCTGAGATGATCTTTTGAATTTTCTAGCACGTGATTTAAGTTCAGCCTGCAAATTTAAGTATTCTACTAGAAATTTAGATTTTACTCCATGATCCTCATCCTTAGCAACAACAGCTCTTTCGGCTCGTCTAAAAGCATGAATAATCTTAGAATTGACTTTCAAAAAATTTGGACTTGATTCAAAATCCGCAAAGTCAGAAACTAATCCCTGTAATTCTGCAAGCTTGTCAGTTGAATACAAAATATCAGCATCGAAAGTGAAAACATTTGTCGGATAAACAGGGGGAGTTGATGAATTTTCCAATCTCATATAGCCTCGTAGGCACTTCCTCATTTCCTCAACAGTGGTTTCATCAGTTACACCCCTAATTGCCAACTCATAAGTCAACTCCTCTTTGTCGAGTCTATTTATCTCCATTTTACCCTCCATTTTCTCAAACTTCAGCAATAATTTATACCAAAAAAAATTCTACCCTGTATAGCCAGGACAGTGACCATAAAAATTTCTCTCGAATAGCTGCGAAAAATCTACTAAACATATACTACAATCATAGATCCGATAATCTGTACCTGAAAATGAAATAATATTCGAACATTCAAAGTATTACCAGATTACCACTAAGGAATATAGCACTTCAAAAAAACTGAACTTACTAAAAAGGCAGTCAGAGATACTACTTCAACAAAAAAAAATAAAAAAATTTCTTTTTTTTTTCAAAAAAAAACATTTTTTTTTATTTTTTTTTTGAAAATCCAAAATTTCTGTTTTATTTAAGGCCCCACGTTGGGCGCCAAAATTTGTAACAATGTTATTTGGAAATTGACAAATATATCTGTCCTTTGCTGACAGAGGATATGGGCTCGCGACTGAACTGCAGTGGAGACGGAGTGGGTTCAGATCTACTCAAAATAATAGATGTTAATAAGGGCGCCAGGTAAATGTGAACTGCATACCCTCACCATGATTCAATATCAACCCCACTTACCATGGTTAATATCTTATTTCAACAGCTATCGTTATCAAATTAAAAGACAAACATTTTCCCAATACTCTATACCATTTAATAATTCTATTCTTGAAACACCTGACACGATAATACTGATTCAAGATTGAAGTGCTATATATCTGAATATTACTAGCAACGATGTTCCTCAATACTGAATACTTTAAATGTTCAAATCAAAACCTGACTGTATATCACCCAAATGTTACATAATACTTAAATCCCAGTTTTATTCCATACCCTTAAAATCCACATAAAACCCACCCAGAAAATAAATGTTCATAAATTCATAGCAATACCCATGCTATATTTTATAAGTAATGCACATATCATATGACCTACCCAGTTCATATACCTAAATCCGTAGAACGCAAGGTTGCAACCGTGCCTGTTACGTTAACAGGGGTATATCATAAAAATCATCATAGAAATCATCATAGAAATCATCATAAAAATCATCATAATAATATCATGGAAGTAGACAAA